GGCTTGGAATCTGTCTTCATGACAATGCACTTAGTGGTTCAAAATGTCTTCTCCCCTAAATTTCCAACACACACACACACACACACACACACACATACACACACACACACACACACACACACACACACACACACGACTTTGTGTGATGTGCTACAAATATTTTACTACAATGTTCTCTCCCTCTTAATGCAAGACAATTTGGAGTCAATATCTAAACACATGGAGGTTTTTCTTGCTTGTTTCCCTAGAGGGGTCCATTATAAAACATATTGAGAGGCTATTGTGAGCATCGCCACTGAAATACACTCAAGATGTTAGTGGTTTTCTTTGCAGCAATGAACAGAGACCAAGGAACACTTGCTCTGCCTGTGAGAAGGTAAAGAGGCATGGCTGCCATCTAGGGAGTGAGGCTACCACATAACATGCTGGGACAGAGCAGGTCCATCCGAGGACTTGATGGGTCACAAAGGAGCCTTTCAGATTCAGGGATGGAGAGCAGACAGGTGAAGAAAGGACACAATGTGCCCTGGACCCAGGTCCTCGGATCACAAAAGGACAGAGCTCTGCAGTGTAAGCCTGGGTTCTAGAAAAGTTAAAACCTCCCGGGCAAGGCTGGAGATGCAGAAAGAATATGAAAGAAGGCACATGTACGTTTGCTGCAAAGGCTGCTGCAAATGTGACCCCAAAGAGAGGTTCATCTCTGCAGTGGGTCACACAGCAATGCAGCCTGTAAGTGTTGAGGGCGCCATTGTGCCTCCTGCACAAAACTAAGAGAGAACACATTGAGTGGAGACATGCGTGCCCCATAAAAGGCCACATGGAAAGAGCTGTACAGTCTCATCTGAGGAGATGACACTCTGAGGGACAAAATTGTTCATGGGATTCATCCCCAATCCCTCCTGCCCAGCAACAACAAAAAAGCCTATACTCAAGACACATACAAAAGCCATGTGCAAACCTGAAATGAAAATAATGCAAGTGAGAATGGACTGAAGTAATGCCATGGTGCCCAGAATGTCAAGAAGGCAGTCATTTCCAAGTGCAACAGTCCTGCAGCAAACCCACATCTGAAGTCAGTGGGAGCCACAGATATCCAGGCATTCTGGAGGGAGAGCAGCCCGGATGTCCAGACTGAGTCTTTGGAAGTGCTGTCCTGTGTGATCACCACGTTCCTGTCCTTGCAGGGATCCACACCCTGGTTTTTCTGCAGTTGACACCATGAGTTCACGAGGCCAGGCTTCCCTGTTGTTTTTCATCACTCCAGCCTGGCCACAGCTGTGGTCACTAGCCAGCATTGCCCATCAGCCACTTCTCTACATGATGAGGATCCCCAGTCCACTCTGAAAGGACCCCCAGGGCTCCCAGGAGCTTTAGATAGCCATAGAAGACCACGCCCATTTGAAATGACTTGAGCCTGCCGCTTTTCCAAGTCTGACCCTCAAAGTATACCCTTGAGTCTTCCGACTCATGCATGAACCAGAACTGTGCCATGTTATTGGTGCTTGAGGGGGACAAGAAGACCATAGCAGTCCTTAAACCCTAACAGACAATGCAGCTCTCACCCTCAGAGGCCTCTCTGGTCCCATCCCTGCTCCAAGAAGTCAGAGGTAAAAGAAGAAAGATCCTACAACACCCAGGAAACCAGAGACGGGGTGGAGGGTATTGCTGAAGGTCAGGGCTAAGGTCAGGGAAGACTGTGCACGTCATCAAGGAAGCCTCTGGGGTTCTGTGGAGATGTCAGACTGAGGTCCACAGGCTGAGGTGCAGGGCTGCTGGTGCAGTTGGGCGGGGTGGACTCAGCATACTTTCCCAGGCTGGCTGCTGTCCCAAGGGGGCAGTGACAGGTAGTCCTGATGCTTCAGGGACTTGAAAAACTGAATGGCTGGCACCTGGGGCATGGGCTGGTAGGGAAGCTTTTTGACAGACAGGTCCTGGTCTAGGTCCACAGTCTCAGGACACAGGCCTGGAGAAGGTGGTTTGTTATGTGGTGATGGTGAGGGGGAGCCAGGGCCCAAGCCAGGGAGGAAGCAGTAGTCCCCCACCTGCTGAAGAACAAGGAGGCCTTCAGGGTGAGGGGAGGCTGGGGCCACCTCCTCCCTGGGCTCTGCTGGGCTCGCTGTGGAAATGCTTGGCACAGGAGGGACAGAACTGTCCAGAGGGGACTGGGGGGCCTGGCTCATGCTTGGAGGGAGATCCACATAGTCATCAAACTCTGGGGGTGGAAGAGCGGGGCTTAGAGG